TTATGAAAAGAGAATGATTTTATTTTTGTAGTTCAAAAACCAAGTGAAAAGATAGGCACATTTATTTGATGAGTCACACACTCAACCTAAAATGCAAAACAAAGATTGGTATGCACTTAATATGTATTTCAAGTTTGTAACAGAGTAAAAATCATTATAAAACTTAGGCAAGAGACATCAAATCAAAGTAGACAATGATCTCCATGTTCCATCTAATGAAATGGAACAATGTTGGCTTGACAATTCAGCCTGAAAGAATAAGGACAGAGGGCAGACATCTAAGCTTCTAGGCTCACACTTCAGTAGTAAAGACTCAAATAATGGCATTTTCCGATCAATAACAGTGTATCAGTGCTAACACTCTCCATTTAATAGTGGACAAGTTTAGGAAAGGTTTATTCTGACAATTTATGAAATACAAAACTCAACACTTACCTTTACTTTGTCAAGCTTTTATAAAAATTGATGGCATTACACAAAGCAAACCCATCTATTTCCCAAGCATGCCCCATGAGATGATAGAGAACAAATGGCAGAAGAGACAGACTCAGGGTTCCACTACCATCTAGGCCAGAATAACTGCCTAGAAGATTCAGAGGAGCAAGGCCAGCACAGGATCTTCCATGTGCACTCCAGTTTATAAGCCTTCTATTACAGTTTGGGACCTTTTTATGCTGTAAATATAGTAGTCTACACTTCCTAAGAAATAGGCTTAAAACTAGACATATGAAACAGTGATAAAGCTCAGTCATTGAGCCAACGTGCTTAGATTTATAGTCAGGGAATGGCAAGATGATACTGACAAAGTACATTTGTATTTAACTAAAAAGGAGAAAAACCATTAACATAATTTGTTGTAAATTTCACCCCAGTCTTAACGGGTTTGGACTCTATGACTGTTAATTATGGTTACTCTAACTAGAATGCCAGTAATAGCCCTGCACTAATCTACTGAACTAAAGACTCACACCTTCATAGAGAAAGAAGAGGAACAAAAAAAAATTTACACTTACTAAGAAAAGAAAACATTTACTTCAATTTCAGTATATGCTTTTCAATCACAAAAACAAAGAAAAGAACAGTGATCCGACAGTGGTCACATCCTCTGCAAAAAACATGAAATACAAAAATGGTAGCACAAGGTATTTGATCTGCTTACATTAAATTAAATACAGTAGCTGAAATATGGCACTCCTGGCAATTAACTTCTAAACCAAACAGAATGCCTTTGAAATGATTAAATTTATTTGTGTATTAGTAAGAAAGCCCCACCACCATAAATAGTACAATATTTAAAAATAAAAAAAATATTTATATCTATCTAAGATAGATAGTGTATTTGTACATTAGAACTCTTTTAAGTGCAGAAGGTGGTTCAGGTTTTGTCTTTTATAATTTTTAATTAAATAACTGCCCATGTGTTTATAAAGTTTCACTCAACTGCAAAAGCCAATTTAAGTCAAGGAACATGTTATCAAAGTTGCATAATTTTGTTTGGGACTGCCAACAGGTTATAGTTTCAGATCAAGTCTTCAACATTAATGTTCATTTTTAGTCAATGAAAAGTTAAAAAGTCCTCAAATCTTCATTATCCTCTTGAACTTGCCCTTCTAAATGATCCTCAGACTGCAATTCCTAGTTTGAAAATAAAAAAAATGCAATATGCATCATACTTCAAGAAAAGACGATGGTGTCGAACTAACATTCTTCTGCATCTTTTCCCTGCTCCTTTCCGCCTTTTTTATAATTTCTGACACTATGCACACTGACGAGGTGAGACCCAAAAGAAACAAGAGATCTGCAAGAGAAAATAAATTGGAGTTTACAATTCTTTGAAATGCATAGCAGTAAAGATTGATAGCTACCATTTTATATATTTTATCAGTTTTAAAAGACATTTCACCATTAATTTATGAGGTAGATATGGTTACTTTTATTTTTTTGTCTTTTTGAGAAAGGGTCTCCCTGTAGTCCCAGCTTTCCTGGAACTCACTATGTAGGCCAGGCTGGCCTTGAACTCACAGAGATCTGCCTGCCTCTGCTTCCCAAGTGCTGGGATTAAAGGCGTGTGCCACCACACCCGGCAGATATCTTTACTTTTAAATAAAAAAATTTGAGATGGAGGGCCAGCAAGGTGGATCAGCAGGTTGAAGACTTGCAAGGCAAGAGTGACAACCAGAGTTCGAGCCCCAGAGTTGAAACTCTAAAACCAATTCTGAAAGTTGTTCTGACCTCCACACGTGAATTTTGGTAAGTGCATCCTTGAGTAACTACACACACACACACACACACACAGTCACACACACACACACTCACACACAGACACTCTCACACACAGACACACACACACACAATCACACACGCACTCACAACTCTACAGGAGGGAAGGCTCAAAGGTACTAAGTAACTTGCCCAGAGCTTCACAGACGGGAAAGAACAACCAGAACTAGAAGCCAAGTCCTCTGACCACTTTTCCTGAATCCTAACTTTGTAACTTGCTTTTAACAGTAAAAGAAGCAAGAGGGGTTTTCTACCTAATGAACTGCAGGTCCATTTTACAAAGCACTTTTCAAGGAGCAAAACTCGTAGTCATCTGAATGAAAATGCATATCAAATGACTAAAAATTTTGCTCCATTTCAAAACCTAGAAGACTGTCTTTATAGCAGTACCTATATTATCTCTATTCTTATTTATTTCTTTAAAAACTGTAGCTGTCTTTTAAAAATTCTACTTCTTAAAAAGAGGAAGCATCGTGAATACAGAATTAAAATATTACACTAGCTCGATTTTAAGTTAAATTTCATCTTATACCAAAAAATCTACCAAAATTATACTAAAGAAATACAGACCATATATAACTCACTCCATAAATACACTAATTTTTAAAATCTAAGAATTAATGACAGCATTCCCAAATACACTCTTCCACATACTTAAGCAGGAAAATTAACTTTTAAATGTACTATATTATATTTTGTTTTGTTGTTTGTGTTGTTCTGTAAAGCTGGAGATCAAACTTGGGACTTTGGCTTGTTAGGAAAACCCATTACCAATAAGTGACATACCTGGTCCTGTATGACAAATGGCATATGAAAAAATAAGTAATTTCCACAGAACTTTATAAAATTTAATGTTTCCAGGATCAGGCTGAAATTCCACGAAGAATGTTTTAATGCAAATGGTGAAATAGTTTATTAGAAATGATAATTTTATGATCAATTTTATTTTCGACAAACTTAAATTTACTTTTCTTCCTGTTTTAAGACAGAAATGACTATAACTTTTAAAATAAAGTATTAAAAACACTATAACTGCAATAATTCTACAACAGGTTTGAGTTGCTGTACTTCAGAATCACCAACCATGATTT